CCTAATTGTGCCCATTTGATTTTTGGACTGATCAGAAGAAAAAATGGCGTATAGGTAGGTGGCCATCTTGGATTCTGACAATGAAAGTTTGTTTTAGCTAATTCCTGGACTGTATTGTCCAAGCATTGGATGAATTTAACAAATTTCATATGTAGGTTCCCCTCTGTCCCAAATTGTGTGCATTCAATTTTCAGTCTAAGGGGAGAAAAAAATGGCTAACTGATGGCCATCTTGGATTTCGACTTTGAAGGTTTTTTATCACTTTTTCTGAAGAAGTACTGAATAGATTTGTCTCAAATTTTATATCTTAGGACCCCTTGGTTCATTGTGCTCTTTTAATTTTGGGACTGTCAGAAAACAAGATACTGATCTGCTGCCGTCTTTTATTTGACAGTTGAAAATCATAGTTGCTATTTCTTCAGAATTCTCAAATTTCATATAAAATAAGAAAAAGGAATTGAAAAGATTCATGTTTTAAAGAATAAATGAAGATCAAAGAATGGTTGGCACTTTTTAAAACATTTTTTTGTTGTCATGGTAACAAGGCCATTTTACATGGTTTTTTAGGTCACCTGAAACATAGTGTTTTGGTGACCTATTGCGATATCCATCTGTTCTGTGTCAACCTTAAACTTTTCACATTTTTGGCTTCTTCTGGAAAACCGAACCAATTTCAATGAAACGTAGCAGTAACATTCCATGGCCAAATGTTAACGGAAATTGTATAATATATAGTCCCCACCTTCAAGGGCCAGAGGGACAGGGCAAATAATGGGCATATTGACTTTAATTTTAGATATCTCCTCAATATTCAAATATGGAAGAATCAAATATGGATGGAAGGGTCTTTACCAGAAGTGTAATTTTCTATTGGAGACAGATTAACCTTGACAAGACTTGTAAGGATAGTGGATGACAGTTTGATGTTTTGCATATATTGACCCTGGCTGACCCCCAGGGGCTGGTGGGCGGGGCCAAAAAGGGTCAAAGTTACTGAAATTTTTTAAAAATCATCTTCTTAATATGGTACCTGTATAATCTAACACTCTTTTTTAATGGAAGGGTCTTAAAGTGAAACGTCTGTCCCGATACAAACAGCAATTCTCACTTTCTCTTTGCTATACCACACATTTAGTTTGTGGGTTCACTCAGGTGACTGTTGAGGCCCTTAGGCCTCTTGTTGTAAAGTGGCCAACAGCTCATCAATCCATGATCAATTTTTAATGAAGCTTGGTTGAATGGTGTAATTTATCACTGCTTAAAGTTTGACAAATCTTTAAGGCTTCTGAGTGGTTTTAATTGGATTTATAAAGGTTTTGAAGAATGGTAATTTCAATAATACTATTTTTCAAATCATCTTATATCATTTGGTTCCCATGGTAACCAAATAAGATGTATTAATTAGAGGCATCTTGTACATACTTATAAACTTCAATAAAACTCTACAGAAATATACAATACCATGCATAGTTGTGCGCATGCCATTTTTTATCGTTGAGTAGGGGGGAGAGTAATTTCCCCTGATCCTTAGGTATGCAATTTTGATTTTGAGTCAGATTGGACAAAATGTCCTACAGGCGGCCACTTGGATTTTGACAACGGATGTTTGTCATCGCTATTTCTTGAGAAGTATTGGATGGCTATTTTTCCAATTTTATATGTAGGTTTCACTTGGTCCCTAGTTGTGCCCTTTTGATTTTGGGACTGTCAGAAAAACAAAATACTGACATGCTACTATCTTTTATTTGACAGTTCAAGATCAATATTGCTTTTTCTTGAGAGGAATTCTAATATTTCACATAATTTAGACCAAGAGGGAAAAATCAAAGAATCAAAGATCAAACGATGGTGGGCTCCAAGATCCATTGTTCAATTATTGAAAATTCGTCTCAGTCATAGTTTTAAGTGGTCATTTGCAATTTTTACTATTTTCGGGAGGAAGCAGAAGGCAAGCTGTTTTTGCTGGATTCCTCTGATATTGAATTTTGGGGTTAGTGAAACTCCTTTTTATATTTCAACATTTCTTTCATTTAAATTGGATTTTTAAGACACCTGGTAGATTTAACACTTTAGACCCCTGATAAGTACAAGGTAGACAAAACACCCATGTGATGCTACTAGATTCATTTACATGCTTGGCCTCATCCTGCCTAGTATCAAATATCAAAATGTATTGTATGGTCACTCGCCAACAGAATATTCCCGAGAACAGAAGTATATTGTAATATTTTGAGGATGATATTCGCTTAAAATAAAAAAGTAGTCAGTATTCACTTCTACTGGTCTTTCAATGGTCAGTCATCAAACGATTTCACATATCCAAATATGGAAGTAGTGTTTTCAGCATGCCGATTAATGACCGGGTCAGGAACAGTGGACAAGATCGATAGCCAAACAATGACGAATGGATCGAGGGTACCATTCACCATGTAGGGTTGTACCGTAGGTAATTAATAAATCATGTTTGGGGGTAATACCACAGAACAAGCAGTCTCTATTATCTTTATACAACACAAACCTGACCACCTTTACGCAAGTCCCTTAAGGAAATTATTTTGCTTACTAATAAACTATCCTACAGGTACTTATCACAGAAATCCGACCCTGTTATAGGTAAGTGTTACAGAACCTTCTCCTGTTCATTCTCAGCACAAGAAATGACTCCTGTGTCTGTCATACACTATTCTACAAACCACTCTTACAGTAAACACTGTTAAAACTTATATGATAACCACATTTTTACACATTTGTGATACAGTTAAATGTAATATTGTAAATATTCGCCATCTGTACTTTTAGAGTCTTAACAAGTAATTAAAGCAATAGAGATGGACTTCATGACGTAGTCATACGAATCATTTGTACGGCGGTAATCTTGCCCCTGCTTTACATTGAAATTACAGTTAATTCATATCAAGATCAGATCAATAAACACGTCATTTCTAGAATAGGATTTCGAATGGAGTTTAATCAAAACCTCGGCATGTGAAACAAATCTAGAAATATTTGGGGTCACTATCACCATCTGACCAGTGTATTAGGAGTCAATAAGGATAATTATTTTTCTTGTTAGATTTGAAAACCTGTATTGTACATTATTATCTCACATCCAACGTGGAAGTCGATATAACTGAATTGAGCAGCATCACTATTACCATATCATGGCATGAATATTCCCGGACAAACTGACACCAGAATACATGCAAGTGCTGTTATTGCAAATAATTCTATAAGCATAAAATCAGTTTATGGGGAGACTTACACTATCGTTGTCTGTACCAGATTATTGTAGTGTTTATGATACTAGAAAAAACAAAGTTGAACCATCGGACATTGATATCATCTACCACCTCCGTGATTAGCTGTACTGGCGATTCTATAGATAGTACGACTGTTCTCAACGCCTTCGTTGCATTTGATTGTCTATTAACAGTAAAGAGAGTCCATTTTCATCTTTCGAGGATTGTCCGTTTGCTGGGTTAACTGCCTCGCGAACCGCCAGGGTCATTTTGAGGTTAGGTACTCTTGTATGAGCTGGTAGGTAAATCACAAAACATCATACGGGAGGTCCGTCGCAAGCTATCCACAGCAATAAGAGTCATGTGTCTTACATAAGGACAAGAACGTGACAGCAAAGACCGGCCCATTTCTAAGCTTCATAAAAAAACACAAACAATCACGGATAGCCGCTTCGGAAAGGGAGCGTCGAATCCGGCACGTGAGAGGTTGTGCTGGCCAACACTCTACATGTTTGATCTAGTATGACCTGTCAAAGAATGCTTATGTTGCAATTTTATCAATGCATCATAAACTCTCGACCTCAGTTTAGTGTTTCAACTTCTTTAACCAAATGTTATCATGACCAACTACATTTACATTTCATGCAACAGAACGAACGGCCCTCCGGGTCTTTCCCTTCATGAGCCTTTTCTTATTTAATTATTATTACTGTATAAATTATATGCTGACATAATACAACAGTCTGGTATATGTATATACAAATGTATGTGAACACCCGAGGGAATACTCTTTATCATAACGTCTGTTGCTCCTTTAATCCAATATCCCTATAACGATCACAATTAATGTTGTTACATTTGTATTACTTTGTATTAAGTTTTTTTTCTTATTTCTGATTACTAGCTCGTGTTAACACAGCGAGACTCTTTTTATTCAACATTTAGTTTAAACACTATTTTACTCAATAATCAATATTACACACATATGGGATGGGACAAGAAGACCCGAGCTTATACTATATGGTGATATCGACAAGTACAGGTCTGCTTCAAATTTTCCAAACTTTGGAATGGAAAGTCGTGTTATAAACTATGTATGTGTTAGTTGATGTATATTCAACCTATTCAGCAAAAACTATCCTCATTCTGTACAAAGTTATGAGTAGAGTTGAGAAATGGCCTTGCTTTACTATTTCTGTTTTTTTTTTCTTAAGATTTCTCCATAGCTCCATGAAAAGGGAGATTAAAACTCGGGAAAAAAAAGAATGATCACAATTTGTGCGTTTACGCCTCGTCCAGACTTGCACCTCCATATTCCTTTGTTTTGTATTGAGCTTTCATTGTCCTTCTTTAGGATACAAATCCCGCTGATATTGATGTTGCAAGTTCGTGGAAACTTCATAATGGTAAAGATGTTAATCGGACACCGAAAAGTATGAATATGATGTATCAAAAAGATGTAAATCACTAATGTGTATCTTGTTCAGTGTTTCACCAATACTTGTAGGTTATACTATTGGTAAGTTTCTGTCGTAACAAGTCTTTCCAGGGGCGTAATACTAAACATAGTGGTAATTAATGAATGCAATGTGTTGCCTACGCAGAATAGGCCTGCACGGGCATGTCTGATTGGTTATCGGTGTGATCAAGTTCATATTTCTAACCAATCAAACGTTTTGGTTTAGGCAAAGACACTTGATCACTTGATATACCATCACATTCGAGGCGACAAACACCAGTTAATTGGAGAAGTTGAAGGAAATGGCCACGTACAATCACTCGTATGTGTTCCAGTTTGAACAACAAGTAAATGGCTCTTTCTATGAAGACTACATGAAGCGGCATTGGGCGGACAGCTTTATTTATTCTACCGTCTACGTCGTCGTCGTGTTCTGTGGGAAGAAATGGATGGAGAATCGCCCTCGGTACGATCTGAGACCCTACCTCGCCACCTGGAGTTCGATACTGGGTATATTTAGTATATTTGGAGCAATTAGGACTGTCCCAGAATTGATTTCCTCCGTAAGGGATCATGGAATGGAGTATTCGCTGTGTGTCCCGTCCCATCTTCAGGGTGTGACCGGATTCTGGTGTTTCTTATTTGCACTTTCGAAAGTATGCGAGCTAGGAGACACTGCTTTCATCATTCTTAGAAAGCAACAACTCATATTTTTACACTGGTATCATCATTTTACAGTTTTACTCTATGTTTGGTACATGTACACGTTAGCCGCGGGATTTGGTAGATGGTTTTCAGGGATGAACTACGCTGTGCATGCCATTATGTACAGTTATTATGCATTGCGAGCCATGAAATTCCGTATACCCAGATTTATCAGCATGATGATTACAACTCTTCAACTGAGCCAAATGCTGGTTGGGTTTGCTATCACATGTTTAGCCTACGAGCTGAGTTTAAGAGGTAAACAATGTAGCAAGTCCAATGGGGCAATCACATACGGAATGATTATGTATGCTTCATATTTCGTTCTCTTCGCCCGTGTCTTTTATACAAACTATCTCGCCGAAAAACCCAGAATGAGCTATGTTGATACTTTGGACCCAAAGAAAAGGAACTGATCCCTTTGTACCACCAAACATCGCTCCTGTGACATTTCGATGCTGATAAACATCTTCAGCTTCAGGACCATTCTGTAGTATTATTCAGATCATGATTTTTGTCTGTAAAGAGTTATTTTTATCTTCATCATGCATTAGAATGATAACGTTTTTATAATTGTTTACCTTGCAGTGAAGAGCATTAAGTCAAATAAACGGTCTAAGGAAGAGGCAGAAGTCTTAGTAACGCAGAAAAACAAGCCCGGGTAAAGCATTTTTTCTATCGAGTTCAGTTTTAATTTTTTTCATGTAGCTTTTATGGTAATTATTTGCCCACTAGGTTAACTTGTTTGAAATAGTAATTCTGTTTTCTTAAGCAACGTATCCCTGAAATAATCTTTTTAATGTATATCGATCCATTTCTCCTGTTGTAAGCTTTGCTCTGTGCAAGAAACCTTGTTTAGACCAAATAGTTCAAGGCGCTGGGAGGGCATTGCTTGGAGAAATTTGCTGTATATGATAGCATTTTTCTTCAAAGCCACTGTTGTTCAATTGACAGGAACGTACTGGAATGTACTGGAATGTGCCACACATTACTGATACAATATTGTTTCGATTTGGAGGTTTATTTGGCCTTCTTATGCGAGTATTTTTTTAGAAATTTGTACAGATTCGTAACTAACATCCAAAGTTATAAACGTATGGAGAGCATTCAACTGGAATTCACCATTAGTGGAATTATACAGGGAATATATTATAACATAGAGACTAGAGAGAGAGTAATCAGTATTGATGTTCCAGCTTTGGGACATCATCACTATGTTTATTTAGTGAGAAGATCTGATGTAATACGATACGGTATTCTGAATTCTACATCGATTAACAACGTTATAGCGTTACGTTTGAAAAAGTTAATATAACAGAAAGCATATAAGATCAAGAGATCGTGAGATAAAGACTTCTTCAGTGTCAGATAAAGACTTCTTCAGTGTCAGATAAAGACTTCTTCGGTGTCAGATAAAGACTTCTTCAGTGTCAGATAAAGACTTCTTCGGTGTCAGATAAAGACTTTTTAAGGGTCAGGTTAACATTCTTTCAGTGTCAGGCAGACCTCTACAGTGTCAGGTTAAGACTTCTTTGGTGTCAGATAAAGACTTATTCAATTTCAGACTTTTCAGGGTCATGACAATACTTACTCAGTGTCATATATACTTCTTCAGTGTCAGGTAAAGGCTTCTTCGGTGTCAGGTTAACACTCCTTCAGTGTCAGGTAAAGACGTCTTCAGTGTCAGATAAAAACTTCTTCAGTGTCAGGTGAAGACTTCTTCAGGGTCAGGTTAACACTCCTATGGTGTCAGATAAAGACTTCTTCGGTGTCAGATAAAGACTTTTCAGCGTCAGACAAAAACTTCTTCAGTGTCAGATAAAGACTTCTTCGGTGTCAGATAAAGACTTTTTAAGGGTCAGGTTGACATTCCTTCAATGTCAGACAGACCTCTACAGTGTCAGATTAAGACTTCTTTGGTGTCAGATAAAGACTTCTTCAGATTCAGACTTTTCAGGGTCAGGATAATACTTACTCAGTGTCATATATACTTCTTCAGTGTCAGGTAAAGACTTCTTCGGTGTCAGGTTAACACTCCTTCAGTGTCGGGTAAAGACTTCTTCAGTGTCAGATAAAGACTTCTTCAGTGTCAGGTAAAGACTTCTTCAGGGTCAGGTTAACACTCCTATGGTGTCAGATAAAGACTTCTTCGGTGTCAGATAAAGACTTTTCAGTGTCAGACAAAAACTTCTTCAGTGTCAGATAAAGACTTCTTCGGTGTCAGATTCAGACTTTTCAGGGTCAGGATAATACTTACTCAGTGTCATATATACTTCTTCAGTGTCAGGTAAAGGCTTCTTCGGTGTCAGGTTAACACTCCTTCAGTGTCAGGTTAACACTCCTTCAGTGTCAGGTAAAGACGTCTTCAGTGTCAGATAAAAACTTCTTCAGTGTCAGGTGAAGACTTCTTCAGGGTCAGGTTAACACTCAGAAAAAGACTTCTTCGGTGTCAGGCAAAGACTTCTTGAGTGTCAAGTTAGAACTTTTTTTTAGGTCAGGTTAACATTCCTTCAGGTCAGGTCAACAGTCCTTCAGTGTCAGATAAAGACTTCTTCAGTGTCAGACTAAGACTTCTTCAGTGTCAGACTAAGACTTCTTCAGTGTGAGATAAAGATTTTTTCAGTGTCAGGTAAAGACTTCTTCAGTGTCAGGTAAAGACTTCTTCAGTGTCAGGTAAAGACTTCTTCAGTGTCAGACTAAGACTTCTTCAGTGTCAGACTAAGACTTCTTCAGTGTCAGACTAAGACTTCTTCAGTGTGAGATAAAGATTTTTTCAGTGTCAGACAAAGACTTCTTCAGTGTCAGATAAAGACTTCTTCAGTGTGAGATAAAGATTTTTTCAGTGTCAGGTAAAGACTTCTTCAGTGTCAGGTAAAGACTTCTTCAGTGTCAGGCAAAGACTTCTTCAGTGTCAGACTAAGACTTCTTCAGTGTGAGATAAAGATTTTTTCAGTGTCAGACAAAGACTTCTTCAGTGTCAAGTTAGGGCTTGTTTTCGGTCAGGTTAACATTCCTTCAGGTCAGTTGATGACTTCTTCAGTATCAGTGTATGGGTTTATTCGATGTCTCTCGGGAAGATCTGGAAAGGTTAACAGAAACACTGACGCTACTACTGACAGTTTGGTTGGCAAAGGATATGCACAAAACAATAAATAAATACCGAATGGTGAATCAGGATTAATCGAGGGTGACAAGAACAAACAAAAAATTACCATCAAAATTAAAGGAAATGTTCTGGAAGGAACAACCTGTATATCGACACCATATCAAATCTTGGTTAATCCATGGAATGGCGTGTTAAATATTTACCATATGTTTGAACAATCGATTTTAGTGAGTCACATCAGGCGTTTTCGGGTTATTTTTATTCGTAATCACATTTGATATTTATATTCACACGTTTAAATATGATAATAACTTTCATCACTGCAGTTTAATTCGGTAATGGTTTACAGCGGAATTATGTTCTCACCCGATAATTTATCCATCCCGATAATAATGTAGGTCAGTAACTTACGGTCATACTTCAAGGCCTCGCCACATGATCCAAGATAACACCGATCAAACACCTTGAACAATGAAGATAAAATCTTACTTAAGATATATTGTACATTACACTCTCTGGGAAATAGCTAAATAGTTGAGTTCAGACAAAGACAATGTAGAGCAAGTAAACTTAATAAATGCCTTAATGAAGGACATGTACACAGAATTTTACAATGTGAGGGTTTTTTATAGAACGTTCTAAAGGCTTTGAGCCTTGACAAGAAAACGGGAATAATGATCACAAGTGTGTTAGATTAAGGGATTTTTTTTGTTGGTAGAAATAGACATCGGCCTTAGAAGTTTGGTTAATGACGTAAATACTAGTTTATCAAATATCTTTATATCGAGTAAATAGGTATCATGGTAACACCATCAACTTTGAATCGAGGTCCTAGGTCCTGCAACTGCGCTGCCTTTTCGGAATACACCTACCATATTTAGTTTTACCGTATTCGGCAGTGACGGTAACAGCTGTATTCTAGCATGTGCAGTAATTCTACAGAATTAATTTCTGATTTACTTGGATTTTTATTTTTGATTCTATTTGTTGCAACAAACAAGTTTATTGATATGTTTTATATCTATTGAAGTGTGAAACTATATCTATTGAAGTGTGAATCTATATTTCCTTGGGGGTATTTATTCTGATCTGCGTCATCAAGGCACAATTCAGAGAAACGTCAGCGTCAGGTACAGAAAGACTGAATCAGACTTTACAAACTGTTCAATTTTGGATTGTCTGGATTTTTGATAAGTGATGTATGATAAATAAAACACATGGTCAATGTCTTAAAATGTAATTTACATTTGAATGTAAAGACATTATGTATTGTATTGTACAACACCAACTAAGTGGTTAACTCCACAGCAAACAGTTGTATGCGGTCTTATTTTAAATACTGTTAAATCAACATTTTTTTGTGAAATGTATCAAAGTCAAACAGTGAATGGAAAATACAGTTTGTATGTATCTTATCGTATTTGATGAAATGCTCACGTTTATACATGTTGTTTTAAATGTGGTGTAGAAGGTAAAGCTATAATAATACTTGGGAGGACTTTTTAACGGTACACGTTGTTATATTTCCTATTTTTCATATTGGGATAATTGGAAGGATTATTTTTAATGCATTTTTCTGTTTCTTTAAAATGAGAACAGATATTTAAGAAATAATGAAAAAGACGATGTGATGTAAAGCAGGTAACAAGATCCAAAAATCCCCGTTGATTTTAAAGAATTTTGAAATTTTCAGATTAAGAAATGAAAGCAATTCCATTTTAATTTTTCTACTCGTCATATCACATTACCATATCACTGTTAATATAAAAAATGAATTTTTCGTCTATTTACCTATTTATGGTATATGTGATTGAAAAAAAAACCCATCATAATCATTTCATTGTTTCTGTTATTATAAACGTAAGTGTAATTCTATTTATAGTAACTAAAAAAGAAAACCCGGTATTGATGCAGACAATATATGATGTATCGACTTTTTAATACACGAATGTTATGAGGGAATGGCGTCTGTATTGATACCCACACAATAAAACTAAATCTGACAACCATTATAACGTTTTGTGTGTGTGTGTGTTTTCCTGTGCATTTCTAATTTGTATATTGAAAATACCTGATACTACTTAAACACACGAGTTAGTAGGACTAAAACGATATATAACCTACATGGTACTTCATGTCTCTCTCTGAATCCACCCCATTAACTTACTAAGTGCACACCCACGATAATGCAATGATAGGATGCACGATGTAACATTGTAACCGGAGACTTGTGGAATATGAGGAAATTCAGGGATATCTTTTGAGAATATTCAAATTATTTTCTATCGATGAAAAGAAATTATTTTTGTG